GAAAATGACAAAATCCCCCAAAAATACGTCCATTTTCAGTCGATAAAAAGCGGTATAAAGCGAATAATTATGTTTGTAAACATTAACACAATGTCCCTTTAAACCACGAATTAAATCAATAAAATGATTGTTTTTTGTTTTATTTCATATTTACCTTTTCGTCGTAATTCAAATTAGTTCCAGTTATTTTCAGATATAAAAACACAAGTTATCATAAATACTAAAGAAATAGAAATATTTTATCCTCCCTTTTGCGGTATTTGTAAATAATAAATGGTGTTTACATACCTGTATCAGGTAAACATCCCTTAAACTACAGTATTTCAAAATGGCGCTTCGCAATCATCGATTTCCGTGATTTCTATAAATAGAAGAAGCGCGTGACGTGGTGCGTAATGAGATATTGGGTATCAAATTCTGTCAACAGTTTTAACGGCTACTTTTGAAGTATTTAATAGTCAATAGAATGAAAATCAATATTTGATTTATAAACAACGTTATTATAAACGAATACATATAGAGAAGGCAAATCTCAATTTTATTAATGCACGACTGCGCGCAGTAATCATAGACTTACCTTGTAACATTTCACACGATTGCGTGTAGAGGGAAAAAACATCTTTCGGAAGCATAACTTAAACTATTTAGTTTTTTTTCTCACTCTCATTTTAATAATTTCACATTGTTTTTGATCTATAAAATATAATACGGCCGAATTTTATATTTCTTTATTTACCATAAGAATCAGGATCGATTTGAACAAATGTTTTGATCTTATAACGTGTATAAAACTAACATTGATTATGTTAGGCGATATATATTCAAAATGTTAAAAGTTGCTGACTTGCAAAGAAATAGAATGTGATAAAATGTAGGGATAAAAATAACGTGACAAATTACAAAAACAACTGAATGTCACCTGATTTGCAATTTCTTGATACAAATTGTGGCTTGAAAAAGCGTTAAGAATTCTACTTAGATGATATCCATTAACTTAAACAAGTCAAATCGAGGCTTAGATGGCAAGATCACTTGAATGATCAACAAATAAAGTAAGACAGCAATGTTTAACCAAATGCTGTGCGCATATCAAATTCATTCTATAGTATTTGTTGAATATAAAGGTGACATCTTTCCCGTCTTATATTGTAGCAATGATGTACTATGTACAAATCCCACCTTTTATTGACGCTGTTCAACTTCACACATTGGGTAAATGGTCTTTTTTTGACGTGTCGTATATGAGAAGTTTTACATTTTAAAGATATTTGGTTTAACAAAAGATAAGATTATGATGAACGATGGAATGTTATTGATTTATCTTTCATTATTTAGTGATGTTGTTATCGGCACTGTAGCATCTGTCCTAAAGCTAAAACAAATAACAAAGGAAGTATCTACCTACACGATCAATAAAGTAATATATAATTTCTAAATATAGCTGATTGATACCATTGGTCTAATCAATTCATATATACATTTACATATACATTTAAATGTAACATGCTATATCGGCAATTATTATCTTTTATATTTGAAAGTTTGAACAAATAATGATCTGTCTGCGAATAAGTTGACGTAATCTGAAACTTTATAAGGTTTTAATATCATAGCTCAACATTCAATACATTTATTCAATATTGCTAACAATTTATGTTTATTGTATTGAATATACCAATGTTTGTTTTCATTGTAAGATAAAATATAAAAGCAGTTTATAAATATTGATCAAGTAATTTGTCAGCACTTGTTTTACAAGACTTTTTTTAAAACTGTTGATATAAACTTTTGATATAAAATAATACGAAATAACAAAGATGGCATTCCACTAACTAATACTTTAGCATTATCTTGATATTTGGCATTTTTATTGCAAAGAAAAAATGGTATGCTACTGAATTCATTTCCTTTCCTCAAATGAAAAAATAAAAGCCACATAGAAAAATTTCCATCTAATCAAAAAATTATAAAATAAGAAAAAGATAATAGATAAGTAAATAAAAGAACCAGGTAGGTAGGTAGGTCTATGGATGGAAGGATGCCAACATAAAGCAACTTGCAGTATTAATCATGTTGCATATCAGTACCTGAAATAAAAAGACACCTATAAATTGTAAGATCTATTAAGGACTTATCAAGCATTGAGACAAAGTTATATAGAATTTTACCAGAGTATTGATTTCCCTGGTTATCTAATCGTCTTTGTTTATTTCCCGAAGGTTCAATGTCAATATTCGCCAACATTCTAGTGTCTTAAATCAATTTATATCTGTCAGCAATTACAGATCCCCACTGCCCATAGCCATTGATCGCACGTATTTAACTATAAAAAGCCAATTTACATACATACATAAACAGGTGATCAGGTGAAGTATACCATATTGAGGTAGATAGTTTATAGTTTATCTATACAATTCTACAAAGACCATAGGTTAACATATGTAATGGCCTTCTATGACAGTAGAAGTAGACATTTTATTTTATTCCAATAGGAGGACATAAAACATGCAACATGACAAACACTGATATAAATAATATAATTATTAAGATTAGAAATCATACATAGATAAAAACATTGCAGAAAGTTTAAATTCTATTTGAAAATAATATTACAAACAACAAGTAAAATATATGAGCCGCGTCATGACAAAACCAACATAGTGCGTTTGCGACCAGCATGGACCAGCCGCGCAGTCTGATCAGGATCCATGCTGTTCGCTTGCCAACCCTTTTACAAGTAGAGAAAATAATAGCGAACATCATGGATCCTGATCAGACTGCGCGGATGCGCAGGCTGGTCTGGATCCATGCTGGTCGCAAACCCATTATGTTGGTTTTGCCATGGTGCGGCTCATATTTAATAAAACTGTTCTCCATTTTTAATTTTTTTTTTACTACTACTGTTGATTCTGCTTCTACTGTTGATTCTGTTGTTACTGCTATTACTGCTGTTACTGCTATTACTGCTGTTACTGCTATTGCTACTGCCGATAGTTACACTGTTTTCACGTATTATAGTAAATATAGTGATGTCAAAGTGGTGTCAAGTAAAATAATACAACATTGACTTGTATGAATAGTGTTTATCATTACTTATTCATGCATAATCTTACACAAAACTACTTGTAGGAAAACGTAAAAGTAACATGTATATACAACATAACAAAATACCGATAGTAACACAACCAAACTTAACATACACTTAATTATTTCTTGTAAATATCACAATCTGTTCTGTTCTATTTATCAACATTTTAACACGTTTTTATATAAAAATTAAAGTCACAGTGAGTTCTATAATTTTTTCACATTTCACTTCTTGTCACAAGAAATTTAAGATATGTCATTTTCTATGGCTAAATCTAAGTCCTTTCTTTACAAACTCGGAAAGATTCATATTTATATTTAATTCTGTTTAAGACTTTCAAAACAGTTCATGTATGTTTTCTTGTCTGTACGTAACAACAGCACGTAAAGATAATCTGAGAATATAAAATAGTTTATCCATCGTAGTCATACTATTAACTAAGTGAAAGCTTAGCGAGTGCGCCATTGTTTGTTCAGTATTTTATCTCCCTTGATTGCCGCACACCACAACAGAACACAAACGACAGGAATACCAGTAGAGGCTGAAACATCAAAAGCATAATCACCATAGAGTTTATGGCATATACTTACCGTCACATGAATAAACAAGGAAATAAATCAAATGACCTCTGTGAAAAAATTAATAATGTAATGTGTTGGTTTAAACATATTTATTCACAAAAGTATATATAATATACATACAAATAACAACAAACAAATTATTTTATATTGGAAAAGGATGAGAACGAAAGACAGCCTTATAGAATTCTTCTCCTTGAAACATGACTGGTATCGAACTCTAGGCATTGTTGTATCAAAAAAGTAGACTTGAATGTTAGTTGTATGCAATAATTGATCAAAAGGGCAGGCCATATTTTTTTACCAAAATGGCGTAATTTAAATAGGTTTAAGTAATGGACCACAAGATAATGCCAAATGCTCTGTGTATTGTAGTTTTCTGAAGAGAATATATTTTTTGGATATGTTTCCTATATAAGGTATACTAGGCTGCATGGCAAATACTTATGCTGTGACATTGTAGATTCCCACGTATGTTTTCATACAGATGTCTATATAAGCTATACGATACCTACAGCGTGGCCAGATATGATAAATTGGGTATATGTTTTTATATAAGTTTTGTAGAGGACCAAAAGGTGAGGTTATATGTCAAATTTCTATGCTCCGGGCAGGATAGCTTCTAAGTTAAAGATTCGTTACATAAGTCTATGTAACATAAGTGACTCCAAGAGTTGGGTCATTATTTTGTATATACCTTTTATAGAGATCCTCAAGGTAGACAAGGGTACATGCCCAACATCTAAGCTCTGGATATAGTACTTAGTGTTCACACACGATTGACACGAAGACGACTTTTTAAGGTAAATAAACAATAGTATGTTCTTTTACTTGGCCAGTCTGTATCTAGTGAAATCTATATCTAGTAAAATCTGTGTATCCAGTAAAATAAAATGTTTTTAACGTAAAAGAAAATGATGAAGTTAATTTTTGTAAAATTTGTATCTAGTAAAACAATTATAAGAATGACAAACCTCTAATGTTATCAGTGTAATAGACAAACTGATTGATGGTGTCCAGAAACGTCTTAACCACGACACTATCTCATTGTAACAGTTCTGAAACATATGTATGTCAAAATAATCTAATATATGTACATATTCAATCCACTTTATTATTATAATGATAAATGAACAGACACTTAAATACAGACAAAAACGATATATAAACCGCTTGAAGAATTATGAAAAAAAAAACCCTTTTAATTCTAACATCATTATGCTTATATTATAATGATAAAATGTAGATAATCAATTCTAATTGTAAATCTCATAAAAGACCAACATATTTATATCCTTGAAGAGTTATTTTACATTTGTTAAGACTATTTACTTCTATATTGCTAATATAACCTGTTTATGATGAGTAATAAGGGTCCGTTCACAGCTGATTTCTTTGAAGGTTTGATAAGTGTCTTCTGTGGCATGTGAGCAACAACTTGTAGGTACCAAGTCGAGGGTGATCTGCCGGGTAGCCCACCACTCTGTTACATTAAATGTGTAGTCGTTAGATGTGGACGTTATGTCGTTCAAACTACAACATTTAAACTGAAACAGGATACATATTATAATAGATATTTTATAACTACAACATTAAACTGAAATATGGTCAAAGTGTCATTTAGTTATAATCTGGTTCCGTCATTAAACATGGTCAACTGTATATGAACTTACATGTTAGTCAAGGTGGCACATTTTATTGAGTTCACATTTAAAAATAACGACTTTCTGTTTTGTAATATTTGTTTCTTATCACGCATTGTAGATACGATGTAGATTCATTTGTTAAGGTAGAAATACTAGTAAAATGATTATAAAATAATTGTTGAAAATAGTTCAGGCTGCTCTTACACCAAGATGAAGGATGTCCCAGCCAGTGGTATTGTCTACTTCAACCCCCGTGTATTGGTCAAACTGCATTTCAAGATCACTTCTGACTTCGTTGTCTTCAAACTGTGGCGGAATGAAAAATGCGGTACAGATACAAAAGTTGAAGTTGCTTTTACTTTTTCTTTTTGAAACACAACAAGGAAATCACGTGATAAATATAATCGTTACTAATTTAACGAATAGCTCTGAGGTCAATTGGGGCCTTATTTGTTCTTATCGGCAATCTTCGTTACATTCCGCATTAAAATACAAAATGTAGCTTTTTAATAAGCGGTAAAATGAGAAGATTTTCGCTGCTCTACGTCATAAAGGTACAATGTTCAAGGCACATTATGCCTTAGAAGCAAAAACAATTTTCCTTCTTTATACTTTATAAAAAAGGGAAAACATGAGTTTTATATCGTTTAAATAATGGTTTTAGAGTATTTTAGATGCTCGATATCTGAAGAAATTAGCGATAAAACTGAAAATATCTGTCATGAAAATAACAATGTAAAAAAATAAATATTTTTTACTTCCATACAAAATTCTCAATCCCAATAACTGACCTTATTGCCAAGAAAAAAAACCAGACGAAAATGATGGTTCAGGTATTTGGCCAATGAGTAGCATTTTAGAAACTATAAAATGAACAACAAATTTAAAAGTCTTCGAAAAATGAAAAAAAGGGCATTTCGGGGGTATCATGGGCCTTCAAAATTCACAAAGACAAACTTACTATATCATACCGATATTAGGTGCACACACACACTAGCGTAATTCATACTACAAATCATGTATACGTGGTATATGTATATTATTTTTTGTTGGATATACATGTTTATGTAGTAACATATATTACCTTTTCTCGCATCACAATCCATAAACCACAGGCAATAATTTGAACAATCAGGAACCAGAATATCAGTATTGATACCTAAAATAAAATTAATACTAGGCTGTTATACATGTACATAATATTTCTTGCAATCGTCAATGCATATTTTTAGCGCGTGACTACGAGCATTATAGAAACGTTTTTTGGGCACTACTTTGCCTCTTTAAATTTTATTCTTAAGGAAGTGGTAATGATTTAAAATTAATTATTTCGTGCGACGGTCAGAATATTGATACAAAATAATACAGTTTTATTGTTTAGAGTTATATGTATAAATATATTATTTGCACAAATATATGTCAGTGTAATAGCATTTTTAAAACTTTAGTAATGACTTAACAGGGACTCTATATACATGTACATGTTTAGCATGGATCGAAGTTGTATTTAAGTTTTGTATGACGTGAATGTAGTTGCTAAGTTTCAGTATTCGATCCTTTTTTTTAAATATATAAATGATACAATTTTGTGTAAATTATATAAAGCACATGTAACACTTTAATAAAATGGAAAAATGAGCCAACACATGTTAAAACATATGTGCAGCATACATACTTACAATCACGAGACAGATTTTGTTTCTTTGATTTCTGGCAACACAATCAAATATTCCAAGAAAGACAACAATACCACCGACACTGATATTGAGGATTGGTAAAGACTTGAGTACATTGCCGACCTTCAGTTTACCGTTAAACTGGGTCATATTCAGCATGACCTTGACCTCATCTCTGACCAGAATATCATTCAATACCATCATCACTATACCAACCACTGCTAGCCCAATCCCTAGTAGCTAAATATAGAATATGTAAATTACTTTACCGATCTATAATTAGAAATTGCTAGTGGAAAAATTACTGTCGTCAAAATAATGTTCTTATATACAAAATCAACCCATTTTCACTGTAGATAAACGTAATCACTGTACGCTGCCTTGCGAGCCTGTACATTTATACAATTCAATGTATGTCCTGCATGGCTATATCAAGCACGTGTTTCTTCCGTGAGCCTATATATTCTAACTTGAACCTTTCTTACGTTGACAGGCAGTAGAATTGTAATATATACTGTGAAAATATTTTCTTGTATTTTCATTGACTTTTAAGGAACTACCTATATTCAGTATTTTCTGTATTAAGTTTCTGTGTTAAGGTTAACTTACGGATATTTCAGTTCAAATCCTCTAAATTGTAAGTAAATATGATGGTTTTAAATGCTCACATGACCAAAGTTAGCAAATATAACGGCCTTAATTGGGCAGATAAATACAATACAAAACTGGACGTATCGCCTATCGCCTCCCTAACACCGTCTGTAAAATACAAACATAATTCAAACGAATCGAGTAAATGGACTAGACGTATTACAGATATAAATAAATAATAAATAAAATGGGGGACTACTTACAATGCAAAAAAATGTAAAGAAGATGAGTAAACGATTCGACCATCTCCCATACCAGGGCAACTTCTTGGGCTTGTGGGGCACTACCCGCTGAGCATAAAACATTGTCGGGCAGATATCTGTAAAACACGTAAAATTTTTACATGCCTTTCATTTATTCTTATTGGTATATGATATCATTTGATTTTTTTTAATTATAATCGTTCATGTTTTAAGTACAAATTACAGATTTGAACAAAATTAAAAAAAAAAGGATTGTTACATCTAGAGAATTAATTAGATTTTAATACACGTCTTTTAAAAGAAAATGTTTAACTTATTTCTGTGTTAATTCCAAAGCTGTAGTAACACATAGAAAGTTTTTTTGTTCATTTAAAGATCATTTCCATTGTATAGTAGATAAAAGTGTTCAGTCAACCAGTTTGCATTGTTTTATACACGGTAGAAATAAACTAAGTATAAATTACATGCTATAATTAAGTGCATGTATATAAACCGAAAAGTACCGGAAAATGCCGAAGCAATAGTATCTATGAAAAGCAATTGAATTTTAATAAATTAAGTTTAGTTTAGTTTAATAAGTACTTTGCAAATTTTCACAATAGCATTAATAGCTTCTGCAAAATATTGAAATAAAGTCTTAATTTCGAATTTACAACTTTAAAAAAATGTATGCATAGAATTACATATTTATGTTATATTATACCATAACAGCACAAAACAGCAGGATATTTTCTGAAGAAAAGGTTGATAGTTTAACACGTCTGTATGGCCTGTTATTCAATTTCTGTAAGAACACCGATTAAGCTATCATGGATAAAATTAAACAAGACGCGTTTAAGTAAACTTCGTTTGATTGAGTCTTTTCGAGACAATAATAGTGCAATCTCCTCGAGTTAGATTCTTACATATACGCTTTTAAAAAGTTATATATAATCTTAATTACTAAATTTTATCAAATCATTTCTGACGATATACATTCGATATACATCGAATATGTATAACAATTTGTTTTTTGCTTTATTTTTAGAAGACCTTGAATTATTCTTACAAGGTGAGATAAATAGTGGAATAACTTTGTACGATTTAAGTATAATTATCCTTTTATTTGCCGATGACATGGTTTTAATTGGTAAAACCCGAGAAGATCTCCAAAATAGTCTTAATTCTTTACACGAATATTGTTGTTATTGGGGTCTCGAGGTAAATACAATTAAACAAAAATTGTTGTTTTTCGGAAAAGGGGACCGATAAAAATGTGGGAGAAATGGAATTATGGCAATGAGCCCTTAGAGGTTGTAAACGATTTTAATTATTTAGGAGTTGTTTTTAATTATACAGGTTCATTTGTTTTAAATAATCAATGTATTGCAGGCAAATCGTTAAAAGCTATGCAAGTTTTAGTAAATAATATAAATAAATATGATGTTAATCCATTTATTTCGCTCCAACTATTTGATTCTTTTGTTGGATCTATTTTGAATTACGCATGTCCAATATGGGGTTTCTCTAAATCTAAAGACCTTGAGAGAATTCATATTAAGTTTTGTAAAATTATACTAGGAGTAAAACAGAGCGCATGTAATTCTGCAATATATGGTGAGCTTGGGCGCTATCCATTATATGTTAACAGATATGTTCATATCATTAAGTATTGGTTTAAGTTAATGAATACAGATAATATTATTTTTTAAAAGGTATTTATCAAAATGCGCTAGAACAGTGTAATTTAAATGGTACAAAAAACTGGGCATACCTTGTTAAAAATTTGCTAAATGAATATGGATTTTCTGATATTTGGAATTGTCCACAAAGATTTGAAGTAAAAACATTTATACCGATTTTCAAACAAAGGGTTGTAGATTGTTTTAAACAAAAATGGTTTGCTGATATAGCTGTCAATAATGTTTTGAATACTTTATATGCATATGTTAAAACTAGCTTCGGTATGGAAAATTACCTTAATTTATTATCTTGTAAATCTTCAAGAATTTGTCTCACGAAATTACGTATATCTGCTCATAAGTTAAGAATTGAATCTGCCAGGTATGGCCGGAATAGGTTGGAAAGACAGGAACGTATCTGCCAAGTATGTGATATCAACGAAATTGAAGATGAATTTCATTTTGTACTTAAATGTAAAGCTTATAAAGTATTGCGAACTAAATATATCAAACGTTATTATTATGTTCATACTAGTATGTTTAAATTTCTAGAATTGCTACAGTCAAATAATAAAGGCGTTCTGATCAATCTGAGTAAATACATAAGCTCAGCCAATAAAATTAGAAATGATTTAATGCAAAGAATTTAATAAATGTTTGAAATAAAAAGTTTTCTAGACTAGGCAGTATTATTTGAAATCGTATAATATATGCATCAAGATTCTTATTTTTTTTTCCTTAAGTGAGTATTATCTTGACATGTTTACATCGAAGTTATGCTTTTCAATATGTTATATTTAAATATATGAAATTACCACATACGATTGTCAGAACGCGCTGGTTCTTTAAACACCAACTTTGAAGTTATTTCAATTATGATAATTTGTTCATTCTCTGTGAAACACTGAAAACATGTTTGCTTATCACGTGCTTATCATTGTATGTATTTAATTTGATGTTGTATTAACAAGATACATGTATTGTATACGTTAATAAAAATTCTGTTCTGTTCTGTTCTTTTCTGTATTCAATTCGTCTTGACATAATAATTTGGTCATTTTTAACATTTTTACAAAAAACGAATATTTCATACGTGTATTAATTAGTTTAAAATTGCAAGAAACAAGAAATGTTGCCTGTGTTATATGGTTGTAATTACTCATTAATAAATAAAATATAAATGGTGTCCCTTAAATGCAAAATTGGGTTTAGTATATTCTCTTCTCACATCAAACTGTACTTTACAATTCAATTCAATTCAATATTTTTATTTGGCATTAAACTACATATAGCATATAGCCATTATTACATAATATAGGTAAAGTGTAAGACATTTTACAATAAATTGTTCATAAAACAGTACAAAATGTTTTCAGAGAAGTTATTAACAATATACCTTCATGAGATTTAGCAATTAACAATATGAGATATATACTTAACATTAAAATAAATTGTTATTGTTATCTATATGTATATATATATGTATACAAATACAGTCATACAATATGTTTTCAGATATGTTATTTACGGTATGTCTTTATTTAGATCTAACAATATAAAAGTTAATCAGAATTTCTTATTTTAAGTGAAAAATATAAATATCTTGACAAATTATTAAGTTCTTTTTCATTTTTAGATGACATTAAAGTTTCCATTTTTTGAAGTGTAGGCCAACGGCAAAAATATGGTTTTAAAAATTTCTTACGAAGGTTATAATATTTTGGAAAAAAACGAGTAAAAAATGGAATTCGTTTTCAATGACATGCATATTGCACTGTTGACATAGTCTATTTTCTCTTGGAACTCCGTTGTGCCTACCAATTTCAATTTCTAGATTATGTGATGATAGCCGAAATTGCGTCAGTTGTACTCTGTATTTATTTATATTACACAATTAAGTATTTTTCAAATTCGAGTTCGTACTTATACATACTGTATGATTGTAATTTACTTGAATTATTTATTTCTGAATACCAAGTTTGTTTATATATATCTAATATTCTATTCTTTATTATTTGAAATGATATATTAATTTCGTTTTGCTGTAGCCATAGGAAAGGAAAACCTATTTCGTCAAGTATTTTTTTTATTTGATATGCCCAATTTTTTTCGTTATATGATATGTTATTATTGACATCTTCTTTCATGACATTATACATTTTTCTTATTAATGAATTATTTTCTGAGCTCAAAATTTTTAACCAATATTTAATCATAATAATTTTGCGGTGTATTCTCATCGGATACCGTCCCAGTTCTCCGTAAAGACCAGCTAGATTCGTTGATTTTTTAACGCTAAGTGTCTTTCGTAAAAATTTACAATGTATACGCTCAATATCTTTACCCTCGTAATTGCCTATTATTTCGCGCCATAATTTAGGATTGATCCCACCAAAGAATCAAATAGTTTACATTTTTCTTGTGTAGATAGGTCTATTTGATTAAAAACAATAAATAAATTATGTAAAGCAAATAACGAATGTTGAGCAAGCTTCTTTTGTGTACGATGCATGTGACCGTTTTTGAATAAAGTAATTCCTAGAATATTTGAATGATGTCACTACTTCGAGTGGGATATTATTAAAAAGAAAAGTGTATGCAGTATGACGACCTTGTTCGAAAATCATGATTTTTGTTTTGTTAGTGTTAACATTTAAATTCCAACTATTGCAATAATTTTGAAGATCATTAAGTAATGACTGTAGCGCTTCCGGCGAATGTGCAAATAGTACGGCATCATCGGCAAAAAGAAGTATGAACAGCTTTAATTCATCGAGAGTAAAAATGTCGCCAATATTATCGTCGAAACTGTTTAATATATCATTTAAAAAGAATAAAAATAAGAGACTGGAGCTGGGATCTCCCTGTTTTGCGCCGATGTTTGATTCAAAAAAGGGTGAAACGCATTTATTATATCTTACAGCTGCTTTAACAGTACTATACATACATTGGATAGCTTTAATGAATTTAGAACCTGCCCTTTCGTTAACAAGTTTTTGAAATATAAATGATCTTTCTAATTTGTCAAAGCATTTTTCAAAATCTATGAATGCACAGTATAGCTTTTTACGAGAGCATAATGTTTTATTAATAATAGCTTGTAGAAGAAAAATACAGTCGACTGTTGATTTTCCCTTCTGGAATCCATATTGATTATCGATGATTTTTATATTTGGTAGACCATTTTGTAAGACGATTTAGTAAGACTTGAGAATATATTTTGCAATGATATTTATAAGTGTTATCCCTCTGTAATTTTTTGCTTCATTAATGTCCCCTCCTTAAAAATTGGTACTATGATTCCTGACCCCCAGGATGTTGGGTATTCTCCAGATTCAAAATTCTGTTAAATAATTCTAGTATTATCTGTGAAATAAAAGGAAATGAGTGTTTGTATATTTCCGCGATTAGTGTATCAGGACCACTACTTTTATTATCATTTTGTGAATAGATCGCTTCTTTTATTTCTGACATAGTTATTTTACAATCAAGGTC